CATGAACTACTGGGACAGATAGTCGATGATGAGCTATTCCAGTTTGCTGATTTGTCGCCGACCAGTCAATCTGCATCAAAACTAATGCGTGGTCAGACTCAACGCAGGTGGTCCAATAGGACCAGCAATTTTGCACTGAGCCACGACAACGGTAACTTACTGATATGCGGTCGAATTGAGTTAGCGTACCAGTTGAACTGGAGCGTCACGTTGCCGTCTGTCGAGAGCTGTGTCGGAAGTTGGTGTTTGATAGGAACAGATGATGGTCTGCGCAGAACTGAAGAAGTCGATCGCCGTTATCTGTTCCTTTGCTGGGCAGAGCACAACTACCACCTAGGCAAGCTTCTGATGCGCTCGGTTTTTCAACCTGCGCATAGGAGAATCTGGCTTGTAGCAGAGCGTGCTCCGTTTCCACCTATGTTGACCAGTAAAAGCGGCAGTCTTCAATAAATTTTCGCCAGCGCTGATTGATCGCGATGTGGTCGATTTGAGTCCATCGCCGAGAACAGGTGGACGCATTCTCACAAGAACACCCAGATTTTACATAAAAGCGGCATGGTCTCCAGTCACTCCTAAAACAACGGTGCCGTTATGCATTTAGTACAAACTTTGCGGATCTTTCAATCTATTCGGATAATTCGTTGCAAATAACTCGAAAATATCGTGAACGCAGATAACGACAATAACGTGACCCAATCCATTACTTACTGAGGCGCTTTCGGATGGCTCCTAGGAGTATCGTCTTTTGTCCAGCAGTCGCCGTAATGGACTCCTTCGATGGCGATGTACAGGGAGACGCCTGAAAGAGAAAGAATAGGAGAGTAGCCGCTTGAAATGATATTGACAGGAAACCCTCATGATTTTCTAAATAACAAGAAAGTTCTGAAGTAGCAAAAGGATGAGATTTAGCGGTGTAACACAGATGGGAAAAAGATAAAGTCGGAAATCTTTGTTTCGCTTCTGCTTATTGATTTTGAAATCCTCTTCAGTTATTTTTAACCCAGATCTTTACCTAGCTGTTTGTGTGATAACTCATATTCACGTGCGAATCACCGTGCACTATTCGAAGCAGAAAAAGATGAGCGAAAAATTAAATTTCACTGAAACTACATCCCCCAGCGCTCTCTAGCAACAGGTTTCAGTTTCAGTTTGCACAACCATTACCATAGCCATCACGACAAGAATGCACCTTGGCGTGGTCTGATGGCTTGCGACCCTCCATGACCGTGAGCTATACAGGACGGCTTTTCACGGCCACAGATCATGTCGTGCCCCAAAGTCTTAGGTACCTATTTGGAAAAACCTTTCTTATCTGTCCAGTTCTTCCCTTCACCCCCGAATCCTGTTTGCGCCACCCATCGGACGTCACTCAGTGTTCAACTAGTGAGTTCAACCAACCAGGTGATAACAGATTTTTGAAATCTCCTTTGCACTTAGCCGCATTTAATGTCCACACCCTCTATCAGACTATTTAACAAGCTGCCTTAGTTTTAACCTTCGAAACTTTCATTTTAGATGTATGCTGTATCTGAAACACGCATACAAAACCCTACTTCAATCATCACGTTGCGACCTCCAGACCCGACCTCATTGTGACTCTTCACTCTCCGTGTGTCAGACGATTTGGCATTCAAAGCTCGTGGTATTGCTGGTGCCGGGGTTGCGCTAAGTGTCAACGCCGTGCATTTCCTTCTTGATTGGATTCCGATTAGTCGCCGATTGTGCGCATTTGTGCATCGACGGCTCGGTACGGGTCGGCAGCTACAGAATGAAGCGTCGTTGCTTATTCGACGTATCGATGTATGCACCGACTGATTGCAGTTCGCCAGAAATGGAAGATGAATTCTACAAGGACCTCTCTCAACTGCTGAAAAGTAGATCAACNCAACCGACATCATGACAGTCGCTCAGACTTCAATGCTCCAGTAGGATCCCTGAACGAGGTATCTTGGCGGTCCAGCTGCAATCACAGCTAACCGAACTGACCACGGAGATTGCATCTTTCAAATTTGCGCTGAAGCAGACTGTCCCTGTCAAGCATGAACTTCTCAAACGACAACAAAGCTTTATATGGAAACCGCCCACTTCTTCACGGCGATGGACTCAAACCGACCACATCGCGATCAATCAGCGCTGGCGAAAATTTATTGAAGATTGCCGTTTTTACTGGTCAACATAGGTGGAAACGGACCACGCACTGCTACAAGCCAGATTCTCCCTACATCTAGTAAACAACCACAAAAAAGCCACCGGGAACGGATGCTCACAATACTACATCAATGATAATTGAAAATTAGCCATCTAAGCGGAACTCTCTGACCACCAGTTCAATCAACAGCCGAAGGACTCAGTGAACACTGGACGGTAATGAAGGAAGCGGTCCAAATGTCAATCAAAACAACGGCGGATTCTGGCGCACGATCAAAGGAAAAAAGATGGATCTCCTCGACCTCGGCTTCCCTGCAAAACCATTCCTTCTAATGCAAAATACAGCAAAGCGCTTAAATCCTTTAAACACCAGCTCATCAAGAACCTGTGGAGTAACCGCGAGCAGTGGTGGATGAGGAAGCGTAGAGAGATGGAGAAGGTTGCGGCTATCGGTAATAGTCGCAAGCCTTTCGTTTAACTAGGAGTACAGGCTCAAGGAAAGTACGGAAAAGTGAGATAATTAAGGAATTTGACGGCACACTGATTCATCATTCGCGAAGTCGTCTTGCACGAGGCAAAACTTTTAGGGCACAGTTTCACTGGCCTTCGTCGACACAAAACCTCCCAATATCTGCTTCAGATGGGCAAATATCACCAGTAAATATTAGTCCTCCATCTGAAATGGAGGTCACCCGGGAAATCAATTACCTCAAAAGGAATGAAACCTCCGATCCGGATGGGCTATCCGCATCGGTTTTTAAAGATAGAGATTCAGCGTTGGTTTTGGAGTTGATGAAACTCATGAGAACAATGTGGGAGAGAAGAATGGTGGGAATTGGTCATCATAGCGATTTACAAGAAAGGTGATAGGTCCTCTTGTGATAATCACAGAGGAATTAGTTTAAAAAACATCGTCCCTAAACTTCTCGCTGGTATTGTACTCCATCGATTGTCTACCGCACGTGAACAATGTGCGCATGAGAACCAGGCTGTTTCCAGACCTGGTCGAGGTTGTACCCACATCTTCACTCTTCGACAAATTCTAGAACACAGACATTCTTTTTGCCGTCCACCATTTATGTCTTCCACTATCTGAAAGCGTCTCAGTCGACCAGTCTGCACTCTGACACTGTCTCGCTCTGAAGGGTATGCTTGAGAAGCCAATTTTAATATTACAATCCCTTTATACTAATGGCCGAAGCCTAGTCCGTGCTTACGGCACTTTTCCACCCGACTATCTGATCTGGAGTGCGCATACGACATTGTGCTACCAAGTGGGGACTCAGGTAAGGTGCGAGCTTTTCTGAATAGTTCGAGTGCCATGTTCGGGAGGCGTTTTGTATCTTCAAAGTGTAAAATATCAATACAAGATTGGGTGGGCTCAGCCTTCAATTCCGCCCTGACTGAAGAAGCAGCAGAGTAAGTAGATAAAATTCCCTATGTGGGCAGCTATCTCACCTAGCGGACGAGTCACAAGTAGTTTCGGCAGGCATACAGAAGGCTCGGTTGGGATTTGCCAGCTTGAGACATCTGTGGCGCCGTCGGAACTTCTGGTTGTCCGTGAATGGTCGAATATATATTGCAGCAATTACGCCAGGCCCCGCTCTATTCTGCAGAGACTTGGCCATTACGGGAACAGGATGAAAATAGTGTCAGTGTTCGAACACCGCTGTCTAGATCGCATTGCACGAGTCTGGTGGGGCAACCGAACGAGCAATGCCGATACTAGGCTTGGAGTTTTAGACATTCGCTGTTGGCCAATAGGGCAAGTGGCCGACCTCTATAAACTACGCTGGTTGGGACATGTGTTGCGCATGTCACCAAATAGGTTGCCTTGGCGCGCGATATTTGCCGAGGTAGGTAGCGGATGGGAAAAGGCCAAGGGTGATCAAACCAAGACCTGGCATGAGGGTGTGAAAAACCTAATCAGGAGATTGGATCACATAGGTCTCGTTAGGCCCCCCTGGATGGGGACCGCGAGATCAAGATAACCGGTGGTTAGGGACGCTTAGTGATGACTGAGTGTCGCAAATCGTGGCGCTCGTGCATCTACTTAATATTCTTTCAACCGCAGTCTGTATGAATGCTCTATTTTCCCTTTGAGTCCGCTCTCGACATTCCTATCTTAATTACGCTTTTTTATCCCAATGGGCAACCAAAAGACAGCAACAAAAATCGGCGCACGAAAATGTATGCTTTTTAATTGAAAAAACTGAAACTGAACAGAATTAACCATGCACTGTTGTGCGCCTGTTTTAGTTGCCATTTTAGGCTACCTATTTGGATGAAGGAGTAGAAGATAGGTCAGAAATTTGAAAGTCGAGTCGGAGAGAAAATGGAAGATTTCGGTAGAATAAGTTTGCAAAGAAATGGAGAAGATACACCGGTCCCCCCGTTAATGATGCTCAGTCATATCACTCGGTGTCTCGAACGATTTCTAGAGACACTAGGTTGGAATCAAACCAGATTGCGACTGTAGAGTTGAAGATTCCAGCCCACACCAAGTGCATGAGTAACACCAAGCACTGTAAACAAACGACAAGTGCTCTTCGGACTAAAAAAGAGCGCTGTATTCAGTTGATCTTTGGGCTAGATTTGCTGCAAGTTTTGTAATTGAATACTGCCGAAGTGTCAACCTATTGAGGTATGTCATTTAAATGAATCTGATCGAGTAAGGATCTACAGAAAGTCGAGAAGTTCGTGAGCAATCAATAGTTTTCTACTTGGATATACAAGTAAATAAAATAGGGAGGATTAACTCCATAAATGAAGGACAGGCAGTATATGAGGATCGAAGGTGTTCCGCAGTTCTTTGGAAGAAAGATAATCGGAACTTATGGCAAGGCACCTGAGGGAGGTTTTCCGTAAACATGGAGAAAAGGGGAATACTGTAGTCACCAGAATTCACTGTTCAGTGGTGGGAACAAACCTAGGACCCGGAATAGTACAGTAAGTGGTATTGTGCAGATTAACACGGCTGCCAAGCGGCAAACTTAGCAGCGGTACAGGGGTTGGAACCTGCAGTTAGAATTTGGAGCAAATTTCTGACCGATTCAAAATCGTTGATCAGTATCAGCTAGTGGTTTAGTTCGTTTCCTATGTTTCTCTTTCTATCGTTTATACAAATATATTAATTCAAAGTGGAAGCTTTGTACTGGTGATTCTTAGTGTGACATTTCCATCGCCTATTCTTCATCCGCATGGGCAGCCACAAGACAACAACCAAAAACGGCGCACAATAGTGCAAACTGAAACTGAAATTGAGTGTGACGTTTTTATGAATTTTGAAAGAAACAAAGCACAAGCCCAATGAGGCAGAAAAACATGAGTAAATGACGCACATACCTTGATGGTTTTAGGCTGAACCCGAGCTCGCTTAGCAGTTGAAGTACTTTTATCCTCAGTGCTAACAAATGATGCGTCGAGAGCATCACTTTCTTCGGACTCAAATTCACGAGGACGCTTTTTCCGCCGCTCTGAAAGAGACAGTAATTCTGATTGGGACTGGGTAGATATATTCAGTTTCTCCTTTTTCTTGCCCATCTTCTTTTTAGCCGACGACGTGGGAGTGGATTTTCCGGGAGACTTTAGTGCATGAGGCTATAATCAGGTCCAACTTCCCCCCTATCTGTAATTCCTCTGGTGATCTCGTATGCCAACCACACGAGAAAGCTGAGGTTTTTGCTTCCCAGTTTGCCGCCAATTCCACCTTACCCCATTTTTCTGCGCCTCCACCTTCCTCCTTCATTGGCAACCCTTTTCTACCCCATATCAGTACTAGGAAAATCCGCCAAACATTGCGCTCTCTGAACGCAAACAAACCACCCGGTTCGGACGGTATTCCACCCATCGTCCTCAAAATGTGTGCTCCTGAACTGGCCCCTGTCTTACGTCGTCTTTTCAGTCTTTCCCTCCAACTTTCCACCTTTCCAACCCCCTGGAAACACGCCGTGATTTTTCCCATTCCCAAATGCGGTGATCTTTCTAACCCCAACAACTATCGACCCATTTCCCTCACATCTGTTCTTTCGAAAGTATTTGAATCTATCATTTCCGAACAGCTACGCACGTTCC